TTTTCTAAAACACGTGTTGATGTAAACAAACACACTTGGTTTACTAAAACAAATACATGTGCTTCCGTACTATTAATAAATATATTTCCTTTTGTACGCTGTTCACCACAACTTATATAACAGCAGAGATATCCTTTAGCACATCCTCCAGTTTTGCAAAGAATATGTCATTGGATTAAAGTATCTCGAGGTTTTGTTGGACATTATAATTGAGAATGGAAATGGGGATTGTGTCAAAGAGACAACAACCCGGCCAAAGAGTAGAAAACAGCTGAAGGCCACCAATGCGTCTTCAATACTATACTAGTATTCTGTGAAATGTAATGCATTTCAAAAAAATATTTTTTGAAACAAACTGTTCATATCAGTAACAATCACTATTGATAAATAAAATTCGTTCATAACCAGCAATACTGTTACAAATGTCTAAGTGAAAGTGCTGTTGAAATTTAGCATATGACAGTTGTTATCCATTCGTTTGATGCGTTTGAAATTTTGATTTTGCCATTTGATTGGGGACTTTCCTTTTTGAATTTTCAGTATTTTTGTGATTTTACTTTTTTAAGGCATTTCTATTCCTTCAATATCAATTTTTATATAAAAAGAAAATACAAAACATCATCTAAAGTATTAATACGATTTGTAAAATTAAAGATAAAATTGAAAATTGCATATGCTTTTTTTTAATATCAAGCAATGTGTTCATATCCACTTTACAACTTCGCATTATTACAGAATAGTAGCTGGTTACTTGACAATATTCTTGCTAAATAATCTGAGAAAATGATTTATAATTATTCAATCAAAAAAACATAACAAATTTTACTGACCTGTATGTCATGTATTTGTGGTGGACGTTCTGATATGTCTACACTTGATCAACTGGAATTTTAGGGTTTTTGAAAAAAAATTGTATTTATACCAATGCTGTCAATTTCTGGATGTTGATTAACTATTGTTTAATTAACAGATTTGACAGGAACTCAGACGACACCAACAACTGTAGAACCGTCAAGATCAGCAGACACAATAGCATGCCCAATTAAAATAGTGTGATACTGAAGTTTAGTTGTACCTTGTACCTGTAGAAACGCTATTTCAAACGGGATAGCACGTACTCCTTTTAACAGAGAGGTGCATTTCCGAGGCCGGGAATTTTTAAACGATCCTGGTACACTTTGCGATATTTTAAATATACTTATTCAAAAAGGTTACCAGTTCAATACTGTTATTAAATCGTTGAATATTGTTTTTGTTGTTTTTAATACTGATTTTGTTTACAGTAAATTGAAGTCCAGCATAATCTGATTGTTATATACATAAGCTGTTAATCACGTCTATCCACTAAATTCATTTGATGTTGGATGTAAAATTGAGAATGGAAATGGGGAATGTGTCAATTAAGAGACAACAACTCGACCATAGAACAGACAACAGCAGAAGGTCACCAACAGGTCTTCAATGCAGCGAGAAATCCCCGCACCCGGAGGCGTCCTTCAGCTGGCCCCTAAACAAATATATATACTAGTTCAGTGATAATGAACGCCATACTAAACTCCAAATTGTACACAAGAAACTAAAATTAAAAATAATACAAGACTAACAAAGGCTAGAGACTCCTGACTTGGGACAGGCGCAAAAATGCGGCGGGTTTAAACATGTTTATGAGATCTCAACCCTCCCCCTATACCTCTAGCCAATGTAGAAAAGTAAACGCATAACAATACGCACATTAAAATTCAGTTCAAGAGAAGTCCGAGTCTGATGTCAGAGGATGTAACCAAAGAAAATAAACAAAATGACAATAATACATAAATAACAACAGACTACTAGCAGTTAACTGACATGCCAGCTCCAGACTTCAATTAAACTGATTGAAAGATTATGTCTTCATCATATGAATATCAGGCACAATCCTTCCCGTTAGGGGTTAAGTATCATACCATCATAACATATATGAGAAGAACATAACCCGTGTCATGCCAACAACTGGTTTTTAAATAAATGTGTTTAGTGCCGATGCAAAGACCCTATAAGTGAATCAATATTAACGCCAAAATATGCAATCTTTAATGACCTGACAACAGTATCGTAACTGTGTGTATTGATCGATAAAGACTGTGTATCTTAGATGTTAGATGATAATTTTTTTCTATTAGTTGTTATTGGCGTTACACTAGGTGTCAGTAACTACGAGTACTCATAGATCTGTACTTAGTTTGTTTTTTGTATTCGGACGTACAATTACACGTTTACGTCCACTTTGTGTTAATTTAAATGTATTTCTCTTTCTATAACACCCGGCCACGGAAAGCTTTATTTTTGTAAAGCCTAGGTGGTCGTGTGGTCTATCGCGTCGGATACAGTGCAGGCGATTTGGTGTCACGATATCTCAGTAGCATGAGTTCGAATCCCGGCGAGGGAAGAACAAAAAATTTGCGAAAACAAATTTACAGATCTAACATTGTTGGGCTGATGTTAAGACGAGTTGTATATATATATATATATATTCCTAACATCACTGAATTTGTCGAAATCCGGATATGGTGTACAAATTTTTGCACCTCATGTTTGCGGTATACAATCTTTTCCGCAAGTTTATTGTTTTCTGTTTAGTAATAATTTAATAATAAGATCTGTTTTGTTACATCTTGTGATCCATTTATTTGGCAATCGCCAATGGCAGTCAGCAGGGTTTAAGAACATCAGTTGGTCGACCTGCTAGTCAAATGCGTTTTGTTAAAATATACTTTTTCACTCATTTGGTCTTTTGGAAAATGTTGTTTGTGCTGTATTTAGACCCCTCTACCAAGAAATTTGTTTTGCATGCACACGTATAAAAATTGCGGTTTTTATCCAACGCAATCATAGGTTTGAACGTTGTTTTCAATTTAGACTTGTATATATATATATATATATATATATACCGTTATACGTATTTATTTTAAGGTTAAATCCTAACTATCAGACTGCCTGTCCAAACTTCTATTTTGGAATAGCACAAGGTATGTCTTTTTTGACTGTCCATGGCATTAAAACACTAATTCCTCGTGATCTGGTCGATTGATTTAATTCTCTGATGCTTGATTTTATTTTATTATCAATTGCTTTTGGCTTTTAACTAGCTTTAAGTAACTACATGTACTCTCATATCGTACTTATTAATTTTACTTGTTGAAAAATATTTTTGATAAAATTTTGTTATACAGCGTTTACTTATTTTTTTATATCTCGTTCCACTTTTTTTGATGTGTACCAATTTTGATATTTAGTATGACAATAAATTTTCATTTTTGGTCTCGTACTAACATACTAACAACAAATGTTTTTTGTTAAAAAAATATTTCGGTACTCAAAATTTTTAAATTAAAGCTACCTGTGCATGTTATTTTATTTAACGCCCTTTTGTCCCAGGTTATAGTTCTTTTTTGACATTTTTATATTTATATTGTGTCATAGATTTAAAAAGATGTTTAATTGTTATTGTTATTATTCCTTTTTGATCGAGTTACGCCATTTCAATAGATATTTCATAGTGTGTTCTTCTTTTTGGTAATGGTATACTACTGTTTAGGGTTGGGGTAAAGTTTGACACCTGTTGAACCCGCTGCATTTGGTTGCTAAGTCAAGAACCTGTTATATTAAGTCAGTGGTTGTCGTTTGTTGAGGTGGTTCATAAGTGTTTCTGGTTTTTCCTTTTTTTTATAGATTGGATTTGCCTGTTTGAATTGTAAAAGACATTTAATTTTTGGGCCCTTTATAGCTTGCTGTTAGGTGTGAGCCAAGGTTCTGTGTTGAAGGCCGTGCTTTGACCTATAATGGTTAACTTTTTAAACATTTTGATTGGGATAGAGAGTTGTCTCATTGGCACTCATATCACATCTTCTTATTTCTATTTTTACAATGTTTTATTAATTAAACATTGTTAACAGGCTGATTATGGTTTTCATATGTTTTTGTTAGTCTAAGAGCAATACAGAGAAGCGCTTCGTATGCACCGAATGTATACATTCTATTAAATTGTAGAAAAGATAAAAAAAAAATTTATCTAGTAAAACAATGTTCAGTCACAAAGTACTATTCTTTTTGAAGATTATTTAAATTTATGTTTGTAAAACAAATTGTACACATTTTTGTCACTTTTTCATTATGTTAAAGAGCGAAAGTAATCCCTCAGGGGACATTATTGGAGCCTAACGTTGGCACCCGAGATCAGCTATATATGTATGTAGTATTGCTGAACCGGCAGCGTACATGTACAGTGTTGTACTAAGTGGACCTTTCTTGTGTTTTTTAACGCTTTTTTTTTGCCATGGTCTTTGTCTATCATTTTCAATTGATTATTCGTATAACCCACATTCCAACGTACCTGCTATTTTTAGAAAAATCAGTTTGCTGGATTTATCAGATTCGTACTTCGAAAAGGAAAATCTTCAAATTTCAAATAATTTTGAAAATATTCTTTTTCAAATATCAACTTATTGAACCCTATTAGAGTTGTGACTCAGTTTAAATTGAGCCCACTGAATGCACATGATCTTTATTCCTAGTACGTATTGTATATTGCACATTAATCTTTCGCTTGTTAAACTTTTAAAAAGTTCTATGTCAATAAGTTCAATTGCAAAATTACGTGGTCCCTACGACAAACAGTTTCCGTGATTCATGAAAGCATTTGAGTCTCCTTGGAGTTCGGTAAATGTATATTTTGGGATTTTATTTAATGCGATGTTTCACTTCAACATATATAATTACAAGCAAAGAAGTTTGAACATTAATGAAGCATGATTTATGTGACAATTACATTTGTACTATGTTGAATAAATATATATAAACACATAGTTCAACCAATATGTACATACCAAACGTACTCGTTTTATAATAAGTTAGTTCCCGTTAACTGACGTTCATTGTTATCACAGACTAATACAATCCTTGACGATGGAAACAGCACAAACAAGTGTTGCTACTTTGACTTTCTCAAAATAAAAAAAAAACGATTTAGCAAATATCTTTATTGAAGAACATTTTAAGTAAACTTGAAATTTAATTATTCTGTAACATTCATTTTGTCCATCCTTTGTTTGTATCAACATGATTAATGACCTACAAAATTAAAAATTGTACTTAAAGTAGATATATGTATATACATAAACAATGTAAGTAAGAAAAATGTTATCAAAACGTCAAACAGTGCGGCTATATACAAAGTACACAAGTATGTTGAGAGGATATGAAATTGATTTATGGTGAAAGCTTATCTCTGGCACTCGTGTATATTAACAAATCTTTCGCGAGCCATACCATTGGTCTCAAAAGCGTAAGAACAGTGCCATGTATATGATTTTTGAAAAGTTGTGGCATGCACACTTAATTCTGCTTTAAAGACATGTATATATAGTTACATGAATAAATAACTCGTTCTTTATTTGAACTCTTTGAGAAATTGGGTATGTCTCAGGATATTGTTATGTTGATTTGCCTTCTCAGGCTGAAAGAGAAGTAAACGATACCATAGGTTGAAAACAAACTGACAATTAAGGCTAAAAACGAAAAACGATCATAGACAAAAGTAAAATAAAAAATACTGAACTCCGAGGAAAATTCGAATCGGAAAGTCTCTAATAGAATGGAAAAATCAAAAGCTCATACGCATCAAACGAATAAACAACAACTGTCATATTCCTGACTTGGTACAGGCATTTTCTTATGTGAAAAAGGTGGATTAAACGTGGTTTTATAGCTAGCTTAACCTCTCACTTGTATGACAGTTGCATAAATTTCAATATATTGACAACGATTTGTGAACAGTACAAACAGATATAATACGTTCACATGTCAAAAATAGGGGTACAGCAGTCACATTGTGTTTTATCTCAATAACCATAAAAACAAACAAAGATATAAAAAAATATTTACAATGGCACAATAACACAATGACGGGATATATAAGTATAGAGCGACGTCATACGTAACAAAGAAACACCAAAAAGGCATATACATTATTTAGACAAACCATAGAAGCAGAAATGAAAGACAAGAATACAAAAACTTATCATAGAACAATAACACTATGACGGGATGTTTAAGTACAGAGCCACGTCATACGAAACAAAGAAACACAAAAAGGCATATAAACAAAGCATATTAGCAAAATAGAAAGACAATAATACAAAAATTATCAAAGAACAATAACACAATGACGGGATGTATAAGTACAGATCCATGTCCAATGGATACCACCAAGAACAGATTAAACAGTAAAAGTAATATTCATAAAGACTAATGAATCGAAAGAATAATATAACACGTTATTAAGATGATAATCAACGTCAGTACCCATAATCAATACTTCAAACAGCGCTAAACAAACACAAAACTGAAGACTGAGCAACACGAGCCTTACATCAACTTTGATTAATCTTAAGTGCTCCGGGAGGGTAGACAGATCCTGTTTCAATTGTAACACCAACGTGTTGAGTTGTTTGTAGATATTGAGACGTTTGGTTTAGGTGCGATTGTTGATTGATTATCTCAAACAGAAAGAGAATATGCCAAATTGTTAACTACAGTTATTGCACGGTTGACAAATCTTGTGTTCCAATTAACGGCTTCTTTTTTCAAATAATAAGGTTTAAATCATGCATACAGTTCATGCAAATATTTTTTATGATGAAAAGCCCAACATAATTTTAATTTTAAAATCGTTCTGAACATGGCAAAGGAACTGATGAAGTGGTTTTATATGCATTGCACTTTTACGATTATACTATTTATTTTATTTGAATAGTTTTCGAATTTGAAATTATTTTGGTCATTTTTAATTGCATGTGATTTTTTTATTCTTATTTAGTTTCACCAACCCAGTAAATAACAAAAATACAAAACAAAATCAGTTGCATTTTTATTTACAAAAATCTTAAACGTTATATATTTATTACATGAAATATTTGTAGACTATATGTCCGGCTTTCAAAATTGAATCAATAAATAAACAAATACGTGTATATAGATATGAGAAGATGCAGTATGAATGCCAATGAGACAACTCTCCATCCAAGTCACAATTTGTAAGAGTAAACCATTATACATATTTATTACCATATTGTTTTCTTTTTCAGAAGTGTTGACAATTTAATGGTTGTATTACGGTTTATTTTCTACCAATTTTGACAATGTATGCAGCCATACAAATATAGTCAATACACAGGTTAACAGTTAGTTGTACACTTATTAATACAGGGCAACTACCTACCAACTTTCAAAAAAGTCTGGACAAAATAAATGCCTATGCTTCAAGATTGTAAGCGAATGGAATATCAAATTTAACTGCCAACAATTTCAAAACACTCACAAGAGGGTTCAAAAAGCTTGTATGGTTAAACTGGATATATGGACACCTTCAACAATGGGCACTCTCAAACACTGTAGACTAGAATATAATTTATGACTAAAACCCCCTTTTTATCGTGTTTCCGAAATATTTTTTCCGTTTATCTACAGAACCTAATTTTCAGTCCCAAAAACAAAAAGGGATAATCAGCGTAAATCAGGGACAATGACTACTGCAATAAGTTGAATGACTATTTATAAATTGTTGACCTATCTGTATAATTATTTTGTGTTTCTAAAAGTGTCTGCTACTTCCCTTTTCAGTATTAAGCAAAACTGTGGGTTTTTGTTCGCTTTATAGCGCTTTTCAACTTCGAAGTACCCTGTAGTGTTTGTGACAAACGGAAAAAAACAGGGGTCAAAATCGTCATTTTAAAGCAATTGCTACTATTAGGAGTCAATCGTTCAAATTGTTTTTGCTTATCATTTTTTACTTAAATTATTTTTTTTACCTTATATTGTTAAACAAAAAGAAACAAAAATTCGGCAATGATGATGTGAAAACGTCCTATTTTACACATTTGACAAACGAACAAACGAAATAAATGGACAAGTACTGCAAAATGCATTTAATACTGTAGGTATAAAATATTTTTATAAATATCTTACCATATAAATGATATCGTTTTAAGGAGGTTTAATTGCATTTCCTAATGCCTTTTTTGCAAAGATGACCACACCCGTTAGAACAACATAGACTACCATAACCACAGCCTGACCCGCATCGTTCATCACAAGTGCCGAATGTATCTGGAGGTAAGGTCGGGCACACCAATCTGCACTCTAAGATAAAAATATAAGAATTGATTTTTCGATTGATTGCTTATACACCTCATTACAAATTTATTGTTCTATATGTTTACATGTGGTGATCAACTTCTAGAAAAAGCTATTTGTTTTTTAATGAAGGTCAAAGTACGTCTTTGGTATTGTTCGAAATTTCATATGAAAGTAATCAAATATTCTAGTCTCAGCCCACCGAAAGTGAAATACACCATGGTTCAAGTAATTCACGGTAATTAAAATCGTAAATTTCAAATTGAGGTATCAGATCGTTTAGCTGACTATTACATGTATAACTATATTCATTTTTATATCAATTGTCCTAGTATTGATGTTGTTTTACATAAACAGTAGACTTTATTGACGAAAAACTGATTGCGAAACTTTGTATTTAGGAATTTTCTAATTAAATAAGAATAGATATGTCAACATTAAACATGTTTTTCTATCTTTCCAAAATGTATTTGTTCAACAGCATGATGGCAATACAACATGTTATACTCATGCATTTGTGCATTTCACGTGGATTTAAATTAACGAATGTCACAGAAATCACTTAAAACCTTTAATTTATATGATTAATTCGGAACCCTATTCATAAAATTATCAGCATTTTTATCAGACACCATTTACATAAACACACATAAATTAGTTTAAGTAATTTATCATTATACCATGGATTTTACGTTTATTCGTATGTTATTTTTTGCATAATGAAATATCTGTAACCTTACAATATACTAAGTTGAAACACACACATACACACACACACACACACACTAACAAACAAACATGAAAATATCGCGCAATATGAAAGCGATACACTTACTTGGTATTGCACCACTGACAGTAGTAATGAAGAAAAATAGAACACAAAAATTACACAGTAATAATCCAGCTAATTTCGACATCGTCTCGAGGTAGATATATCCAAAGAAATAATGACAAGTGACAATGCTCCCATTTATTTATTCATTTTTAGATAATTTATTTTACTCGCGTGTCAAATGATATAAAGCTCCACGAACATGTAAAAATTTTTAATAAATACGGATACTAAAGACATGTGGTTAAAACTTGTATTAAGAAGAAAAACAATTAAAACATTAATTTGTAAACATGAAGTCAGGTAATATTTTATTTATATACAAACTTTTAATACAATCTTTGTAAACATGCCCTCGTGTTACGGTAAATTGTCAGTCGTTCTAGACGTTTTATTGTTTCGTTATTTTTTTTTATTATTGAACCTATAGATACTACGTTTTTTTCTTTAAAATAAAGATATACTGTTGAAATGTAATACGACTTTCAATACTATTTAGATAATTGAAATTAACGTTATATGAAGACGTTTTCAGTTTTTCCCCATTTTAATGTCTGTAAACATTTAATACTTTTATGAGTTACCAAATCCAAAATGCTAATTCTTTTCGGAGTAACCAAGTTATCATATTCCTATAACCAGATGTACAATTTATATATATCATAGTGACAATGTTATTTCAAAATATATTTATCAAAGTCAATTTTAGAATACAGTATACACCCAATTCCTTATTTTTAATGTACATTGAATGTTTAAACTTTTACTCCTTATTGTAATTAAAATAAGCAACTAGAATTTCAACTTCTAAAAATGTTAAATAGAATATCAAAAATATTATCTGGGTGGGAGAGGGGTCGCTCAATGCTGTAATCTCTCATTTTTAAGCCATATTTTTTTTCTATTCTGTATTAATCTTTGTTAAATATTATCTATACTTTCTAAGTAAGCTCCATCCATACCCCCAATTATACTTAGTTCAAAGATAATAGGTATTGTAGTAAAGCAAATGCTTTACAGCCAACACAAGGAAAATATCGTTCTGGTCCCACAATTCTCTATTCTCTAATTTTTATGCCATTTTTCTTTATTCTGCATGTACATTTAACCAACTCCATTATTGTAAAATATTGATATTGATCCAATATTCTATATTTTGTAAATTCTTTCCAGACTCAATTGTGATATAAAGATGAATTTAAATCAACAAATTTGATTTACAAACAAAACAAGAAAAAAAAATCGATGTGGCGAATACAGAGAAGCAATCATTGTTTTCTTTTAATTTTTTCCTGGTATACGATCTTTCCTATTTTTGAGACGACCACTTACTTTTCGTACTCGATGTATAATCCTGGTACCTTTGACTAGTGACCATTGTTGAAAAGGTCTGCTAATAAATAGTGTTGGCTCATTCGTTAATAATACCTTAACAATAGCGTGTCTTCTAGGTACTTAAAATCCATTCAGACTAAAATAACGGATATGTTCCTAATGTCGTAACTAAAATCCCATACCTTTACCCCGAATGTGAACTACCGAATTAGACTTTTTACCGGTTTTATAATATCATGAGCATCACGACGGCTGTCACATGTTGAGCAGGATTTGTTTATCCTTTCGGTGCACCTGAGATCATCCCCAGTTTTTGGTAGGGTTCGTGTCGTTCAGTCTTTAATTTTCAATGTTGTGTTTTGTTGCCATGGCGTTGTCTGTTTATATTGAAATATTAGTTTGGGTGTCCCTCTGATATATTTGCCCCTCTTTTATGAAACCGTATTCCTACATATTACTGTAAGCTCTGGTAAATTTCAAGCTATTTATTGAAGAGAAACTTTAGAGTAGTATGTGCATCAGCCCGTCCTGTTTTCCACCGAATAATATTAAACTATTATAGTTTTGATAATTGGTCAATCGCCGTAACTTTTCAAATGTATTATCTTATCATTTTAAAACGGAAAAGAAATAATGAAATCGGTTAATCAGTATCACAGATTGCCTCTGGCTGCCATGCCTTTCATCCGATCGAAATTTTATAAAATTAATCAAAGATCACTTTTAAATGGTTACATAGCAAAAATACCGAATTCCAAGGAAAAATCTTAATGGAAGGTGCATTATCAAATGGCGAAACAAAAAGTTCAAACACAGCAAACGAATGGAAAACAACTGTCATACTCCTGACTTGGTACAGACATTTCCTTAAGTAGAAATTGGTTGCTCAAACATGGTTTTTAGCTACCTGATTAATTATTCCGGCAAGCAAATAAAATAGAGAGCGCTCACAAACATGTTTAATCCCCGACATTCTTTATATGCCTGTTACAAGGCAGGTTCAGTGGTTGTCGTTTGTTCATGTCTGTCATATTTGATTTTCGTAATTTGTTTGCAACTGAAATTATACCGTTTGTTTTCCCAATTGTATAATTTCATATTTTTCATGTCGAAGCCTTGAATTATAGACTATGCGGTATAGGTTTTTCTCATTGTTGAAGGCTGCACAGTTACCTATGATGCTTACATATACTGTATTTCAACTTTGGTGGATAGTTGTGGCGATCATAGGTAAACATACCACTTCTTCTTATTTTTATATAAATATGTATCCCGGAAACCTGCTTGGTAGCCTTATTTTAGGTTTAATGAAACAATATTTTTAAGCGTTCCTTTTCTACTACAGGTAGTTGGTGGAAAAAAAGGTGTAATATGTGTAAATATTTCAATTACACTTTTATATAATGATTTATTTCATATTGATATCAATCTAGGAAATTTAATGCTGTGTTTTGGTTACTGTGGATTCATTTATTTTCGTGGGTACCAGTTTTCGTGGATTGAAGAAAACTTGCATTTTCGTGGATATTTAATTTCATGGTTTCGGCAAAGTCTGCATATTTCCTTTAGGAAATTTGTAATTCGTTGAACATTTAAATTCGTGGCTCCCCTATACCCACGAAATCCACGAAAATTGGTATCCAACGAATAGTAATGAATCCACAGTATACTGATGTTCAATAGTCATTAATCGATTAAGTGAAAACAAACTCGTAATACAAACTAAAACTTAGTTAAACACGTCAACTATGAGAAGAAAATAACAGACCAACAGAAACACTGAACTGTAACAAAAACAAACCCCAACATACATCGAAACGGACTATTTGCTAACAGCTTCCATATTCATGGCTAAGTAAAGGACGTTTTAAGAATAAAAACAGTGGGCTGAACCTGGTTTTATTGCTAGCCAAACCTTAGAATAATTAACACCTGGTATCTTTGATGAGACTATGTGTGCAATAAGCAAGTAAGAAAATGTCTCAAATAGATGGATAAGTGCTATCACGATTTGGATTTGTCATAAAGTGATTTTTGTTTTGTATAAATTTGCTAATACAACCTCCTCACAAGAGAGCTTGATCTTGTTCTTTAAAAAGTAACATTACAAAAATTACGAGCTCTAAGAAAAATTCAATCGGAATGTGTCTTATCAAATGGCAAAATCAAACGCTCAAACACATCAAACGATTAGAAAAGAACTGTCATATTCCTGACTTGATACAAGCAGATTACATGTAGAAAATGGAGTATTAAACCTGGTTTTATAGGTAGCTCCCACGCATGCACTTGTATGACAGTCGCATATATAAAATCCCATTATGTTGACAACTACGTGTGAACAAAACAAACATACATAATAGGTCAAATGTCAAAATAAGGATACAGCAGTCAACATTGTGTTATATTTTAATTACTATAAAAACCAACAAATATATATCAGCCAAGAGAAAAAAACAAAATGGAATATAGATAAAGCAATAAAACATTTGTAAGGATTTGTCAATCCATCCTTTAAAATGTTAAAATAACCCTTATTTACAAATTTCATTTGGAACGAAGCCGTTAAGTTGTTATTAATATTTTATCAAATATCCCTTTGAAGACACTGTGTAGGACAGTAGTATGTTGCTTTGTTTGTGAATTCTACGTATTCTCATCCATATATATTTGCTTTGATATTGACATTAGTAAAAAGATGCTATTTAGGCTATTTTTATATATTAAAAACAAAATATAATCATGCAGACAATCTCTTTTTTCAAGTTTGCATACTTAATTTAGTTTACATCGTTTTATTTGTGGACAGCATTGATAATAAAAACAGATATTTTTTCAAAATTTAGGGCTTCCTGATCTCTCTGTCAAGTGTTTAAATAGCAAACAAACAAACTATGACCTACAAATTTAATCATTTGTAAATGTAAAGATAAATAATCGAATTGTACATTCTAAATATAGGATAATTAGAAAGTAGATAATTTCTAAGTATCATTTTTGAAAGGATTATCAAAACTGACATTAAAAGCGAATTTATTATCGTTTTCAAAATCATTAGTTCGTATAATATGTTTTGATATTTACATTGAATTTGCTTACTAATGAATTGTTTAATTCGTGTCGTTTCAATCGTTATCATTACGTTAAAGTATTTGATTAAACATGACGTTATTCATGTTATTTTACGTCAGTTGTGCATAATTATTGTGACACGAGAATTTGCCAAAATAAATCTTGAGAATTGGACAAAATAGTTAATAATTATCAATTTTCGGAGATGATTCGATGGCAATTTTATTGTTAGTACGGAATCGACAACAAGTGATTTTTCTGAGTTTATGATTATTCTAACAAAGACCGTAATTTATGAAAGACAAATGAGAAAATCGTTTATAACGAAAATCACATATTGAAATTGTGAAAGAATTAGTTCAACAATTTATCAATTATTACAGAGCGAAACGACACAAGCAAAGATCCGTTTCCTAATCAGACAAAAAAAAACATATCTCGTAAATTGCAAATGTAAAAATCGTCAATATCGAATTTGTGCCTTTACAATCATCATTAGAACAATATATCAAAATTTAAAAGTAATAGTTTGAACTGCTCATCAGGAAGTACATGGAAACAACATTTGATTAAATAAGGATCACGACTGAACAGCAAAAGTGAAATATTGATCTCAACCGCGATTTAGTCACGAATAAAAGAAAATCTTCCAGATAAAAATTTCACAAAAGAGGAATTGCGTTTAAATACATCATCAATTTCAACAAACAAACTATCTAATTTCAGCAACTTGTTAATATCATACTTATTAAATATGACATTCTTGCAAATAAATAAAAATTTGCAGTTGTGTGTGAT